TGATTGTGTCTTCGTTTATATCATTACTCGCAACGATTGTCAGCTCTCGGAACCAATCGAGTGAATACTTGTCACCGATTTTGCAGAACGAATCGTAGGCCACCGACGACTGATAGGCCAGATCTCCACTATCTATACGAATACCAATCGGTCGATACCCGAGTTCGTTGAGAGCCAACGCTATGGCACTGAAGTTTAGTAATCCACTCCTGTGTTGGTTAACAAAATATTGCAAAACAATACATGAATTAACTTTATTTGGTTCAGACCTGATCACATCGTAAGTGTCAACTAATGCTAGAAAGGCGTCCGGAAATGAAATGGCATAAGCGATAAATGCAGCCTTCAATTCAATGCAATCATATGATCAGATGACCATGTTAATTTGAGTGTTTATAACAAAAACTTTGATTTAATGACAATAAATACATACAAATTCACTGGAACTGCATTCCGATTGTAGAACTCCTAAAAGTTCTGACAATTCCTTTTGATATTTGAGACAACGCTCCACAAAATCCACTGTTTCTCCAGTTTTACTATTTTTCAGAGTCTAAAAATTCATTTTGTAAATATTATTATAATTGATTTTATATATTTAATTAAATTACTCGAATATTTAGCTCATTAATAGATGTATAGGACATAACGAAAGAGTGAGCGTGAGTTCCCTTCAGGGGTATGCCATACATCTTCCCGGCCAATACATTACTCGTTCCGTTAAAGCCTCCAATATATGCATATTTTGAGGCTGTTTTAAATGTTATCTTTAAACGTGATTGTTATTCATAAAAATAGTAAACTGACTTAAAATATTTTTAAATCAATTCGTAATAAAGGGAAATGTTTAAATTTTAGACCTGAGAGTCCACCTGAAAAGTAAAACAATAAATTAATTTGTTTTAAAATTTATCAATTAATATGCAATTTGTCATACCATCGATGCCTTGAGCTCTGCGGAGACCAAATTCAAAGAGTTGAATATCTCTTCCATCCAATGCTATCCGATATCTCGTAGCGTTTGTTGTGATGAGACTGTTTTCAAA